AAAAGATTCAAAGATCCTCCTAGAGCAACAAAAGAATATTACTATATGATTGTTACAAATTTTATTAATATTTGAATTTCGATTCAAATATTATAAAATTATTAATATTTATTTTTTTAAGAAAAAATATAAGAAAATTAAAAGAAATAAAAAAAATATATATATAATGTTATATACAATTACATACAATTTTGAGTTGAATGTAAATTCGTTATTTAAAAAGAAATATAAAAAAACTTGAAAAAAAATGAAAAGTAAAAAATATGAAGATCTTCTTAGATAGGAGATAAAGAAAATTTAAAAATATTCGTAAGGGTAGCAAAGGATAGATAAAATTATGAATTCATGTATCATCAATAATTTAAAAATGGAAAAATTGAAAAAGAAGAGATGATAAGGAATAAAAGTGTGCAAAAAATTTTAAGTCCCTTTTGATAATGATTTTTCTTATGCACGAGAGAGGGAGCATCGCTCAGTGGATAGTTTTATTTATACCGGAAGAAGCATTCGAATCAGAAGCATATCTTCAGGGTCCCAGTCCGCCTCTAAAGATAGCCACTCAATCGGCCGTATTTCTTGTCTCGTTCTAGACGCGTGGGTCGTGATTGTGTTGGTATTAGTGAGATTCGGCAGCGTGAACCAACGATTTGGGACATTGCGTGGGTGCTGCAGCTCAGGTACAACTCGTGCACGATCTTCGTGCACCATTATTGTTCCAGCACGTTCATCGATGATTTTTCTTTGATGAGCTATTAATGCACGTGTAAAACACGCTTTATTTATCCTCTCTGAATTAAAATTCTGATTAGAAGATAATCTCTGAATTTTTTTTTTTTTTTTAAAGATCAAATTAAATACATTGTAAAAATTGATATTGAAAGATTTATGTGGATACGTCGCTTTTGAAATATATACGATGATTGATCAAAAGAGGTTTTATAGTTTTAAAAAAGTTCTTTCTAAAAATCTTTTTTTAATTGATCTTTCAAGATTTTTGGTTAAGTAAAATTAAAGAATTATGAAATGTGAAGCTTGATGGCCAAGGTTATAAATTCTGGCAAGGTGCAGTGACCTATATGGTGATATTACTAATAATTGTTGTTCTTTTTATAGATATCTTTGCAAATTTTATGGTACAGTTTGTTGCATTTCTATGTTCTATTACTGTGTTAATCTATTACTGTCTATTTGTTTTCTTGATAAGTGGCTTCCTGTGAATATTTCCATTGAATATTTTAGTGCCTGCAAACTTACAATTTTATTGCCGTCTTGCACTTGCAAACGTTAAATAAACTTGAAGAATCATAAATGAATTGAACAAACCAAAATGAAATTCCGTTTTTTCAATTTATGATTTTCATTAAAATTATAAATTAAAAGTAAAAAATCCTAATGAAATATTTTCGGTATTTTCTCGTCTTTTTTACAAAATAATTCATTTCAGCATTCTTAAAAAAAAAAAAAGTATCTAAATTTACTTTTAACAAACCAAATCTCTTTTTCAATTCTACAAGTTAATATTCTAAAGCTTTCATGAATCAACGTAATGAATTTAACGAATTTAAAGAAATTTTAAAGAAAATAATTCTGAACAGAATGATTATGTCGAATTATTTTTAAAGAAATTTCAAGATAATGACAAAAAGTACTCTCTTTGAGAATGGCTATAATGTTGTAACAAAAAAAAAAAAAAGAAAAAGAAAATGTAACATGCGGTTAGCTTATGATTAAAGTAGCGACGACGTGCTCAAGCAAACATACTACCGGCCATCTACTCCTGAATAAACAACCTATAGTATCGAGTGTATATATATCCGAGCAACGCGAATAGTTGGCAGAGAATCAGCGGTGCTTATCACTGAATTAGCAATTTTCTCATTCTCACTTTTTCCTGGCAAATCGATAATTAAATTAAGCCGTGGCCAAGTGGCCAAGAAGTTTTCAGATATTTCATCTTTTATCTTTCAAATTTTCTTTGAACAAGTAACAACACCTTTATCATATTTAATATTGTTTCTTAATATTTTTTTTTAAAAATTATTATTTACATGAGAAATTTAAAAAAATTTTAAACATTAATGTTCAATTATTCGGTGTAAATTTTTTTATTATTTTCGATGTAAAAATATTTGTTTTCCAATCTGATATTCTGATATCAAATTAATATTTAATTTTCTTTCTTTTTCACGGACAAAAGAATGCAATTCGCGGTGAAAATATCCTTTCAAACGTTTCTCGTTGCCAAATCTCGCAGATGTGGAAAATTATCGAAGTACCCCTCGAAACAATTTTAGATTCTGAACTTCGAAAGATGCATTTTGTTTCCCTCCTTTGTAACGATCACGGCCTTGGAATCGATAACCTAACCTCAAACGTGTAAACGCGCGAAAATTTAAACCTCGCACGTTCCGCAATCGTAAATCCATGCGTTCAAGGATACAATATTTCCACAGTTTTCAATTTACCATTTCAATTTTATGTTTGTAGCTAATGAGAGTGAAATTCGAGACGATAGTTAAACCAGTTGCACGCGGCTGAGAAAACGGAACAGTTTATTAGTGGAACGAAAGCTATAGCGAAGCCATTTTCCTCGACAAACAGTATTTCTAAGCCAATGTTATGTATTTCTGGTTTCACCTTTCCTTCTCTTTTCAATGGATTCTTATTAAGTCACGATGAACAACACTGTATGTGAACAAACTGTAAATCACGGTTTATACAGGGATGAAACGTTTACACGTAAAATACCACTCTGTTGAGCGGTTTTCAAACCGATTAAAGGGTAATTGTTCGATGTCCATGATACGATAGAAACGAGGGAATATGGTTGGACAAGAAATTCTCTCCTTAATTGACCGAGCGAAAAGAGCTCGTCTTTTAGGAAGCTCGAAACGAGGGAGATCTGGAAATATACACTTGAGAAGATCGTGTCTTCTTGTTACATCTTTTGATTCTTTTGGAATCGTCTGTAAGCTTTGAAAATATTTTCATTGCCGATGGTATGGATGATGATATATAAAGTTTGAGTTTAGTTTGAAGTTTAGTTAACATTGAACATTGTTAAATTATTTTATTCTTGAATTTTGATATATTGAAATTTGGAATTTCTTGGATTTTTTTTTATATAAAATTGGAATTTTATTTATATTATTAAATTATTTTAATAGAATTTTGTAATATTGAAATTTTAAATATCATTAAGTTTAATCTAGAATTTTTAAAAAGTAATATTGAGATTTGTTGTTGAACCTTGTTAAATTTTTTGACTTAGAATTTTGAATTATTGGAATTTTGAGTTGTGGAATTTAGATTTAAACACTATTAAATTATATTTTAATTTAAAATTTTGAAATATTAGATTATTGAATTATTAAATTACTTTGATAAATTTTTGAAATATCTAATGTTAGATTATTTTAATATAAATATTTTGATGAGACTTTAGTTATAAATACTTTAAAAAATATTGAACATCTGATTGTACAATATATATTTTCATAAATAAAATGACCAAATCTACTCTTCAATAGCAGATACATAGTTTTAAAATTTCAATTAAATTGGCAAACTGAATCTCTTTGTAATTACATTTGCTATAGAATAAATATCTTTTAATATAAAAATACTTTAAATATTTTTTAATATAAATATATATCAATTAATTTAAGTTTTTTAATTATGAATTCATTAATAAACACATGAACATTTTTTTCTTTTCTTTCTTCCATTTTCCTTTCTTCTTTCTCTCCTTAGAATTATCTTTCATTATTCTTCTTATACATTTATCGAGAGAAATTAATCAATATTATTAACATTTCACCAAACAATTTCTAATAACTTTCATTAAAAGACTTCAATAATTCTTCAACATTAAAATCCAAAGAAATAATTCTATTAAAAATCTATTAAAAATCACAAGCGAAATTAATTCTATTCAAAATGTCTTTTGAACCAATCTAAAGATTTTTCGAGCTTAGTGAGTTTCAAAGATTCTTTTGTTATCGACACGAAGAATGTGAAAGCTTTGAAAATCAAAAGAAAAATTTATACTTAAAACACGAATTTTTAATTTCAGACCTCATTACATATTTTTATATATTGATAATTTTCAACACTAATAGACTTCTAGTTCAAGGATTAAAAACAGAATAGAACCAAATAGACCCTCCGAGTTGGAAAGATCTTTTGCAGGAAAAATTGGGATGCGCGCAAAGAAGTCGCGAGGACACGAAATGGCTGGAAATAGGTGTACATCTCGAGCTCGTGATCCGGGTTTTCACGATGAATCTGCTCGAAAAACTCATCGCCATCTTGATCTTTCTCCGAAACCCTTTGTACGATGCTTAAAATCTAGACGTTGAATTCTCGAATCGCTCGATCGAGGCACAGGTGAACCGAGGTGGATCTTAGGTGCAGGGTGGTCGAGGACGATATGTTTTCAGGCGAGACGATAGCGAGAGGCTTGGCGGCAAGCGCTAAAATAACTCGAACGTGTGCTAAAAGCGGCGGCTACCGGAGCGCCGGCCTTGCTACGGCAAGCTTGAAGAGGTGTCTCTTCCCTGCCGATCGACCAGAACCCCGGCCAATGGAGTGTTTCTATAAAAATGCTCGAAATAAATAATTTTCGCGTGTCCATGATCGAGGTGGGAAAGGGGTGGAGCGTGAGAAAGATTTCTCTCGAAGGACTATTTTTACAGGAGGGCAGAGGAGAGAAGAGGCGAGAAGAGGGCGCAAACGAAACGTTTCTCTCGCTTCACACTGATGTATTTTCAGAGTAACTTTGTTACGTCACGGAACGATGTCGAGGATGGTTGAGGAAAGAAGTGGAAAGAAACCTTTTTCAGAATGATACGAATATAATGTAGATTTATTATTAAATTTCGGGATCCAGTTGTGGATTAGATTAAATTGAAGACATAAAGAATTTTTATGATTCAAAGAAAGATATTTTGTCAATTGTTAAAAAAATAATTCTTTAATAATACAATATAAAGAAAAAGAATTTAATCGTATAAATTGAATAAAAAAGAAATTAAAATTGGCGAATTAGATTGTTGACAAGCTGAATAATGAAAAACACAATAAGAATTTCTATAATTCAAAGAAAAATAATTTATGACAATGCCAAAATTTCTATCTCTTAAAAAAAAAGTTAATTAACAATTTCTTCTTTCAATCTTAATACAAAAAAATATTGCAATCATAAGTCTTTTAACAAGCCTTCAACAGGTTTCTAAATCATTGATCTTCGAGCCAACATAAATTCCCTCATATTTCTTCTTTTCTTCGCTGATAATATAATTTCCTTCCAACTAAGTAAATCCTATTTTCGAAAGATAATGCTACTGATTAAAAATCGAACAAGTAATTAGCGAATAGATAACAAGGAAGGAATTAAAGACAAATATAAAGGGATAATTAATAAGCGATAATGATTAATAAATAACTGATTCGTCGAAGTGATTTCCTCCTCTTGGCACAGGGTCGATACAGCCGTCCGAAGCTGTTTCGGCGTGGATGGTTGCTGTTGGTTATTTCGTCCGTCTTCTAGCATGTTAGCCATTACGTCAGACGGTATTATGAAAACGTGATTCAGGGGAAAATCGCGAGTGGAATGCAGCTTACGTGACAGACACGAGTATATGCCAGGAACAGGTTGTCAAGAGAGAAAGAGGAAGACGACCCATGGCCCGTTGACTTCGAAAGGTCTTAGCCCTTATTAGACCAGGTGTTGGTTTATCTTTACACGTGACACTTTGCTCGTCATGCTCCACTTTGCCGTTTTTCCGCGCCATTTGACTCTGATCGCCTCGTCGAGGATCTTGGAATTTAAAACTGTTGCGGAGAGGATTAGCCGGGTGATTTGAGCAAATTATAGGGCGGATAAAGGTAAATCGATAATTCTCGAGAAATCAACCTTCTATAATTTGGACTTCTATTTTGAACCTACACCTATATAAAAATTATCATCATTATTTTTAGATGAATCATTATCTTTATTTTGCGATTTGAGGAAAGTTGAGAGAAACATTATGATTTGGCAATTTTGTATTTTTTAAAAAAATGTTTCGTTTATTTATTATTTTATTATCATATTTTACTATTTTATTATGTTGTTTTTATATAAAGAAATATAAAGAACGAATATAAAGAATTATATAAAGAAATGTAAAGAACGAAATACATTTGTGAAATTGTCTTGAATATTTTATCATATTAATAAAACTTATATTTTATATATTATATATATATTTTATATATATTTCAATTATATTTAATCAATCTTTAGTTTAAACTGATTCAAGATTTAAATTTAATCTCAATCTAATTTTTATTAATCTTTTTTTTTTCAAAACATCCGAATCAATATCGATTAAATTTCCATTCCCTATATATTCTTTTAAAAATAATTTAAAAAAATTCCTCGACCAGTTAATTTTCATCGTCTACCGTGTTGCACGCGAGCTACATCTATTGAATTAAATAAACAGCTGGCAATGCGTCTCGATATTCCACGACCGCCATCAGTGTGCGTCAACGATGTTGAGTCAGTGGCCGCAATATTTCCTGTATTGGAGCAATAAAATTACAGCCAGACTGACTTCTTGAGTTCCCTTCGATTCTCACCAAGCTCTATATCCATTCTTGATTTGAATTTCTCGTATGCCTTCCACTTCTGCTCTCACAATATCGATATGTTAATTGAATTTAATTATATTATAACTTAGTAGACAATATTTCTTCATCTCTATTTTTTAAAAAAAGAATTTTAGATATGTATTTTCATCGTGTTTTAAAATCGTATTAATGGTATAGTTATTAGCGATTATAAATAATTTTAGGAATTTGATAGGGGTGTCTTTTTGTAAAATTGTTTTTTTTTTAACTTAGATTTAATATTAAAGAAATTGCAATGATTTTTTTAAATATTGTATAATAAATGGATTTATGAGTTCGTAATTATGGCCAATTCTAAGATTATTATTTTGTTATTTATATTCGAAATTTTGAACAAGATTTTCTTTTCAATTTATTATATTATATGTATTAGAAAACCTCACAAAACTTTATGCTCATCTATGCATTGTGCCAACTAGTTTTACGCACACACACTGTTTATATTCAATGATTCGATGCTTCAATACAGCCTTTACGCATTATACCAAGGCGTGGCTTCTATATTTACGCGTTTAACTACAATTTTAAACGAATCCGTGATTAATGCCTTCTTCAAACTTCCATCTCATTTAGAGTCCGCAGACGTCTAAATTTATGTTTCTGCGTAACATATCAACACGAGATTTTTACTTAGAGATATCACAATCGCTGAATCATCCGTTTATTCGATTGAAAATATTCCCCGTAGAACGTTGCAATTTGAAATTTTATTTAAATCATCTCACATCTCGGGGACAATTCGTAATTTCATTTAAATCCTACGAATGATTTATCTGTTCATATTCTGATAAATGTTTCATTGTGCCAAGGTGTTACCAGTTTCTATATTTACTTATCCAAAATTGTATAGAATCAACAATCTCGTTCGACGTCTCTTGTTACATTTTATCACAATTATTGTTGCTTCTTTGACATTTGGACGGTTGAAAATAACGTTGAACGAAATGACGTAACGAAGTCGAATGAATCGCAACGAAAAGGAGAAACGATAACGCGAAATCACACCGACCTATTGCACCAATTATTGCACGCCCGCAAACGTTCACGAAGGCTTGCGTTTACCTCGAGACGGCTTGTCCTACTGAGCGGACCGGCCACTTGGCAAAGGGAGAGAATTTAATACCTGTTAATTGTCATGCGAATGTAATTCGCGTGCATAACATGTATATTATACACAGAGTGTCTTAAGACGAGTGATTTAATCAGAAGATTATTTCATTAAATCCAAAAATTTTTGAGCCTTCCTTTTTTTTTTTTTTTAGAAAATCACGTTCGAACATATGCAAAGCAAAAGTCATTCAATCCTTTGTTGGATAGAAATAAAATAGTTGAAGATAATTTTATAGAGAAAAATGAATTTTTGTTTGAAAGTATAATATTGAAATATTTTCGAGAAATGTCGATTCGAAATAGACTTCTAATCTTTCAACAAATTATATCAATATAACTATTAACTTATTAGCTGTTTTAATTGAAACGTGTCACGTGCGCTCAACAAATTTTCAAAATTGATTAAAATTAATTCTAAATCCCTTTTTTTAGATTTATTTTTATATACGAAAACAACAACGAATTTTCTGAGATATTTTATATTTACGTTCCACGTCGATACGATTCAAATTTCAAAAGCGAAGAAATATCTTTGAATTTCACATTTCTTGACTTCTTCGAAAAATTTATTTTCTCGTCTTAAATGTTACCCTCGTTCATCCTGGAGAATGATTGGAGGGGAAAAAGCGAGGAGAAGATCAACGAGATTGGTATGTTTGTAGAGAAACAGAGGCGTCAATCTCCTGCTGGGGGATTTATTTATAACACGCGAACGCGCGTCTCCGCCTTGGTACATTAAACCGTGCCCATATTGACGTCTCACTTGTCGTCTTTTGCAAGCAAAACGATCTCAATGACGAATCGCGTGCTGCAGTTCTGGCTTTCATCGACACCCACTACTGCACCGCCGCGGATTATGTAATTTCTCGAAGAAGGAGAAGAGGAACAAGGCAAAGAGGACGCGTAGAAACGTGGGAAGGGTGGAAGAGGTTTCTCGTAGCCAAGAAAATTCTACGAATATTCCTGCGATGAATCCGATTAATTCTATCCGATCTTTAAATAGCATGTTCAATTATTTTCCTCTAATTACCATTTAATAATAATATTACCGTTTGATTCCTATTGATAAATTACGATTTCAAATAACCTTTCAGGTACTCGGCGCGATCTCTCGTCGAGGAATTCAGGTTTTAACCCAGATTTCTTTTAGAAGACGCGAAAAACTTGGAAAGGTGGTGGAGGAGAATCGAGAGCCAGCAGAGTCGGTGAACCGAAAGGAATGCAGGAGTGAAAATGGTGAGACGGAGCGATTGAGAAGAAGAGGGGGAAGAAAAGTAAGGTGCCCTTAGAATTTGATGACAGTATCAGAGCAAAGAGTCTATCAAAACGAAATTACATAATCGACACGTGTCAATGGATGTTCGTCTTGCTTTTGCATTTCCTGAATTTATTTTTGAGATCAATTGTTGGGATGCGTTTTTAAACGCGTGGAGTCGTTAATCTGTTAATTTTTGACGTGTAAAATTTGATTTTTATTCGAATTTTGCTTAAACATGAATAAAGTGCTTGAAAAACATTCTTGTTCAACATTTGTTAATTTTGTGTTTGTAACTTCAAATTATAAATATAATTTCAACAAATAGCAAAAAGTATTATATCACAAATCCAAAAATTGAGAGAATTTTTCGATACAAAAACTGCAATTATCATCGCTATTTCGATCCATCTAACCTCAACTATGAGAAAATAATACTTAAGTTACATACTTAATTCTCAAAACGAATTACATCACAGGTCAGAAGACAGAAATCGTGAGAATAGCAATCAACGTCGTTCACCTGATTTATCCCTTCCTTAAAGAACCATCCATCTACTCTCATCTCTTCATTAAGAAAAAAGAAAACTATCGAATTATACACCAGACCCAGAAATCGAGAAGACAATCCTAAAAACGAAGAATAAGAACCGCGGCCATCATCATCATCACCATTTTGATTCTAACCACTCTTCGCCAAAGAGTCAGCAAGATCCTGATCCACCTGAAGAGATTAGAAAATTCTCCCGATGGAAGATACACTTACACCAGTACACGGCAACAAAGTCCTTCTCGTTGAGGAGCCGCTCGAGTTGCTTCGCGTTAACTTCCTCGATGACAGGCTCGGCCTCTTTGTGGCCTCCCTTGGGCCGGGATGGCTCGTCAGATTTCGCCTTCGCGACGGCGTCCACGGTGGCCAGGAGGGCGCATAACACAGCGACCACACCGAGAAGGACGATCGTCTTCGCGTATCCTCCCATCGTCGTTGGCCCGCAGGTAGTACTCCTCCTTCGTCTCCGCCAGCACCACCACCACCGGCCGAACCGTACCGTCGAAACGTCGTTCGCCGTCGACATCGCCGCACTGACTGGCACATCGGCTATTTTTGATTTTTCGGACAGCGCCGCAAG